AAGTTTACTTTTTACTTAATGACAAGTCGACAAAACAACTACGTGTTTTTATTGAAAGGACTAGTGCAAATGCATAAATACTCTAATATCTGAATTTATTATACAGGTTAATTTTAATAGTTGTACAAAATTTTTAAAAGAAAAAAAAATTCAACTTGTTATCCGAACCCGAAGGGTTTTATTAGTCGAATAAGTTTCTATTTGCCACGCCTTATACTACACCAACAAAAATTGTAAACAAATATCTTCTGAGATTATTTTTTCCAAATTTCCTACATTTTTTTAAAAATTGAATCGAAAGTAGCAAAAACAATCATAGAAGAAGGGGTCAATTTTTTCACCTCAATTGTCACCAACTATTAGTGATGTAAGCTTTGGAAAAAAATACTCAAAAGAATCAAAGTTTGTTTTTTTGACGACTTTTCCTACGCTAAAATGGAGGTTCCACTCTCTATCTCGGAAACTAGAAACACCCTGTATAAAATATTTTTTTCTGTGGTCGGGCTACTTATACACATTGTACGGTATCACGAAGGGTTGTGATGCTCGACAATGGAGATCAGACACAATGCCGTTGCCAGATGAAGATATACGACAACACACACAATAGTTGGGTGAGAAGCTGGAAAAGCGAATTCGTACAATACCGGCTACAAATGAACAAGAAGCAGTTTGTTATCAAGTCAGGTTTCTATTTTTGAACCGATACTCTCCTTAACAAGATTATTTCCCAACCGTCGTGTGTTTAGATATGCAAAATAAGTCAAAATTTTACAGTATCGTAAAACTGCTTTCGACACGCCAAAGGATCATTAAAATTTTAGATAAATGAAGGTTGCTGAATTAAATTTTTAATCTTATTGGTGAGAATCTACTCAAATAGACTTGTACTCGATGTCGCGCATTGTGGCTTATTGGTTGTAGGATGGATGTCCAACTTCAAGTTTTAAAGCGACGTTTTTTGTTTGGGACCTAATGGAGGTTTTTGTTGACTATAAGCATGCATGTTTACAGGCCCCACACCGGCCTTATCTTTTCCTCTGCTTCCTCTTCTGGGAGCTTTAATGATCACATCAAAAAGAAAATTTGCCACCTGATCGATTTTCTTGCCCTGCTTTTATCTCTCACATTTTGCAAAATTGTTTCATCTTACAAAAGAGAGCGGCACAAAAAATATGACTACTGCTTCTATGCCAATAATAATTATATTGATTTTATTAATTTCAAAAAACCGTTATTTTAAGAAAACCTTTAGGTATATTTTAAAGTTTATCATTATTTTAGAAAAATAGAACTGCAGCTTCCTACAAACTGTTTGTTATCTTAGAATAGCCCAAAACTAGCGACGAACAAAAATTGTTTATTAACTTCTTTAGAGGAGTTGATTAAAAAAAATTCTATACCCATTTTAGTTTTAAACATAGACATTACTGTTACTGAACACTTTTGACTGTTTTGGGGTTTAGTCTCTACAAAAATTGCAATTTTTATAGAAATATAGGTAAATTTATAATTGGCAAATCATAATTACATTACATTTTGACAAATTCTGCCAGTTTAAATTTTTATGAATCTATCAAAGACTCGAGTTTTGTAGTTTCTTTTTTTCAAACTTGAATGTGACCCTGAATTAATCATACGATAATAGTAATTGATGGTTCGCCATTAAAACCAATAGGAGTACATACAGGATGCGCCAGAACTCGCGCTTCAGAGAAAAATTTCAAGTGAGACAGGATACCAGGAACATGGAAATAATGTCAAAAAAATTTGACATTTATTTTTGACATTTGACATTTTTTTATGTCCATTTAATGATACTGATAATCTTGTATATGTTTTTTAATAATCATTTAGTAAAGCTACAAAAATTTTGCCAATAAAAGCCACAAATAACATTAAACGGAGTTACAATTCAGGATACAGCTTTCTTGTTTCCTGTTCTAATAGCCTATAGCAAAAAAACTAGGAAAATTATTTTTCAAACAGAAATAAATAGAGTCAAAGTGCAAAATTTAAACTCTCATAACTTCGTAATTTTTATAGATAGAATTTTTTTAACATTTTTTACATGTTCCTGGTAGCTTACCTTTCTCTGGTGCGCAAGTTCTCGGCACCCTGTATATTATTTGCATTTTATATTCTTTTTGGTTCTCATAAATACAGTCTATTTTTTATTTGTTTTTGACATTTGACAGCTTCTATTGTAATTTGTAATGATGATATTTAGCCTCAAAACAGTTTTCCCCATAAAATAAATTTACAAATAACCTACGTGACGGTAACACACACTTTTGACCCACGTCACTAGCTCTGCGTTACTTTAATAGGATTTCTTAAAGTGAAATAAATAGCATTACCGTCCTTACGTAAATACGTAGCGAGAGAGCGACAAGCCTGTTTACAAATGTTGAAAAGTGGTATCTTTGAGCTATCTGGTATATCTTTCGAGTTATTAATTGATCCACACATATAAATAAAAAAACGGACTTTAGTTGCTTTTTTTTAATACAGGGTGATTCTTAAATAGACCGACAAAATTTTATCACAGCTTCCCAACGATAAATGGAGGCAAACTGTACGATTTTTACGTTTAAATCTTTTAGGGGCAAAACCCCCTTGATCCCTGCCACTTACGGCGTTTAAGAATTGTTGCAATAACCAAGTACATTTTTATCAAATAATACCATGGTTTCCACTACCTGTGCTAATACTATTTACGAACACATCAGTGGCGTACGCTTTACTTCGAAAATCACTTTAATAAATTTTATTTGGAGAACGGTTAAACAAAGAATTTTTTAAATATTTTTTCCAGCATGTTCTCATTTGATACTACCACGGATAAAATTTTGTAGGTCTATTTAAGAATCACCCTGTATATGCTTAAACCGTATTAAAATCAAAATAGGTACATGCTACTGATCAATACAGACTGCAAATATGAGCTTTTTTAAAATAAAAATGATAATGAAAAAAGGTGTAGATACATAAGGTACATAAAAAGTTTTTCTGTGAAGAATCCAAACAAGTATTATGAAAATTTTATGTAATTTACTTAAAAGAGTTTCAAAATAGTTACTTTTCCAACCCCCTTCACAAATGTTGTGCAACCAGGCACCTAATTGCTTTCCTCATTTATAATAATTTTGTATTATTAAAATAAATACAAATTAGCTATTTGTACCAGTATTAAGGCAGTCTGACATTAAAAATAATCATGTAATAATAATTTTTAAGACCGCGTTCAATATTCATATTTTCAATAACAATAATTTATAGGTGTATAGAAACAGGAAAAAAAAACGTTCTTTAAATCTGTGGCCACGCCACTTTACATCCTTATTCGCTACGTTTCTGACATTTATTCTGCAGACCTTGACATGGATGTACGCGTGGTAGGATATGGTATCGATGGATTATTCAGAGACCTTGCTAAGGGCTACCAACCGAAATAATTCGCTTTTCCACTAGACGGATTATTTTCCTTTCATATTTTTCACTAAACGTGTGCCATACAGGTGTCTTCTCAAGAATAAGAACTATTTGACGAGTTCAGCGAGAAAATGAAACAAACATTTTATTTATTTATACGCAACAGCAAACTGTTATTTCAAATTATACGATTAGGACGGGTAAAGTGACAGCCAACATCCAACTTTGTAAATAATTCAGTAGATTTTAGACAGATATTTTAAAAAATGTATCGCGGACTATAGAACCGTTTTAATTTTGTTTTGCATTTTGTCGATAGTTTATTTTAAAAAATCGCCCACGGGTCCAGAAATACCATAAAAGGTCAGACCGACTTTTTCTGGGAGAAAGCGATTTGGTCTTGAATAAGCATCTCGGATTTCTCCAGTACCGGCTTAGTAACGTTGTATTAAAACCGCTTTCTGATTCCCCCATGAATAATTTTCTCGAATCAACAAAGGAGCAACGCCGAGTGTTTACCTCCGGAAAAATTCGCCGCAAATCCACACGAGACAATTGGCCGATGTAAATCGACCTAATTTAATGCTAAATATGTGGGCTCTCGTCAAAGCAAACACATCCTTTTACGTATTTCCGCAATTAATCGGCTAAACGTCAATTCAGCTAGAAATTGATCTACGATGACCTGAAAGGCGATGCTGCAGTAGGTTTTATGGACTCGAAATTGTCTGATGGAGTGATAAAAGCCGCGCCGGATTTACACAGATCAAGCCGGTTTAAATTTGACGTTTCGATAGCGAATTAGATTTCAACAGGAAATGTTGATTTTCAATCACGCGGAACGTCGGAAATTTATTATTTTCGATAATAAAACCACAAGCAAAAATACTAATTAAAAAATGACAAAAACTTCAAACCAAATATTTTGTTTGTATTTACGGAAACTAGAGACAGCAGGTTGTTTCAATCAATTATTAATAATACATTGTGTTGGTTTTTCAGAAAAATAAAAAATGGAACTAAATAATTACTTTCAGAGAACAATTATTGCTTCTTGAATTTTGATTAATTTGCAGAAAATTTTGATAAAGCACTGCAGGTAATTAAAATAACCGTTTCGGGTCAGCAGAGTTAGTATTGGTATCTTAAGTGTTGAATTATATTGAAACTGTAATACCGCTATAAATATTGTAATCACTAGGCTTAAGGTTATTTGAAAAGTTAGAATCCTGTGAAGTACAGTACTCCAATTTTGGTTGTGTTAAACTCTCTAATCAATAATTTCTGATAAGAATCATTTCATTTACGTCTTCGAGCATTTGCTGTTCGTATTTATGATGCGAATTAAAAACGTAATAACTTGTCAACTCTGTGCGTTATGCTTCCACTTATTTCACGTAATTAAGAGCCTGATTACTTTTTAATAATATTAGTAATAATCGAGGGCTGGCCGTAATTATCATCGATTGATCGTGGAGCTAATGAAAAATTTCGATTGCATGCTTGCACGCTAATTATTTTGTTATTTTCGGTTGGAAGCTAAAATAAACTCTTCAAATACGTACCATTGTGCGATGAATTCGGGTCCGATGGTAAAAACCGGCGTGGTCCTGTTTGTTTCGGTGGTAATGAGGGAGGAAGGCTCCGTGGAGTTGTCCATATCGCCTCACCTGCCCTGTTTCATCTCTTTGACATGGTTAATAACGGTCCATCGAACGACCTGAAAGACGCTCGGAAATTACGAACAAACAATGATTTCAATTTAATAAAAATTATTGGATTTTGGTCCGATTTCAGCGAGATGACCTAGTTGAAAGTTTAAGACAGGTTGTAAAAACGGGATAATGAAAACTCGTTTGTTACGAGGTAATTCGAAACGACATTTGCCCTTACAGAGCAAAGATCGACGAAATGTGATAGCTGCTCTTCGATATTAATATTCTTTAAGCGACGACGAGCCGCAATCGACAAGATTTGCTTTATTAACTTTGTCGTTATTATTTTATTAAATGGAAGGTTTGTTTACAAGAGTGATCCATTTACAAGGAAAGAAACGGAACATGCGCCAGGAAAGTGATTTTAATTACGCTCAAAATAAAGTTAATGTTTTTATGTAATTGTAATACAAAACACAATTTCTTGTAGAGCAACTTATAATTTTACTACTAATCCTTACTAATAAATTAATCCACAAAATGTAGAATTATTTATTATAAATAAGTATAATATACTTTTTGTTTGCCTTAATGGATATATTTTTTATACGAGCTACTCAAATTATACGACTTGTATATTTTGTATTACTTGTCCTTGAAATATAATTGCTAAATTTCGTCGAAGATGGTATACAGGACAGAGGATGAATAAAACCATTATATTCGTCGCGACGTTTTGATACCTTCATTGTTTCTTCTTCAGGTGAAGCACATTCGTTGTCTGAAGGAGATACAATAAAGGGATTGAAACGTCGCGACGAATTTAATGGTTTAACTCATCCTTTGTCCAGTATACCATCTTCGACAAAATTTAGCAATTATAAAACTTGGTTTGCTAAAATAAAATAAACTAAAAGCATACTAAAAAAACATTTTTCTTAGTCAGTTCTGGAGTTGGTTAAATTTCAATTTTTAAGATGTTAAACACCATTTAAACATTAAATAAATATATTTTAAATGCAAAGAAAAAAAAGGCGACTTTTATACAGCCAGAACTCGCGCCCCAGAGAAAAATGCCATATAAGGTAAGATCCCAGGAACATGGAAAAAATGTTAAAAAAATTTTATCTATAAAAATTTTGAAGTTATGAGGGTTTAAATTTTGCACTTTGACTCTATTTATTTCTGTTGGAAAAATAATATTCCAAGTTTTTTTGCCATAGACTATTTATTACAAGAGGAAACAAGGAAGCTTTATCCAAAATTGTAACTCTGTTCAATGTTATTTGTGGCTTTTATTGGCAAAATTTTTGTACCTTTACTAAGCAATTGTAAAAAAAACATATACAAGATCATCAGTATCATTATACACATAAAAAACTGTCAAATGGCAAAAAATAAATGTCAAAATTTTTTGAAAGAGAATTTTTTAGACATTTTTTTCGTGTTTCTGGTATTACTTGTAAATTTTCTCTGGGGCGCGAGTTCTGGCGCACCTGTATATTTTGAGAAAATTTATTTCTAATGAATAAAGCATTTAGTTTGTGTTTTAAAACAAAATTTTTAAAGCTTTTTTTTTAATAAATTAATTTTAATATCATTCAGTGCATCAGTGATCGATGGCAGAAATACACTTTCTAGCTTTTCGCTGGTAGTCAAAATTGACAAATCCTGCCTTTGCCTCGCCGACATAAAACTGCCATTAGGTGAAGTTTCATGCAAGACTGCCGCAGTTTACATGGTTAGTTTAGGGCCGAGTTATCAGATTTCGAAAGTCATTGCGTGCTCCAAATCGCGTCTCTTAACTTGGAAACGAAATCGTTTGGTGAAAATGCGGCTTCTAATAACGTATGTGGCTTGTTATCACACAAATCGTCTAAATGTCGTGACGAAACTTTTTCTTTCACTGCTGCTTTTTTCAATTGTAGTCTAGGCGGATAATTAGCGCGTGTTATCTTTAATTTCAATTAAACCGTTTTCTTTCATCTCCAAACTGTTGAGCAAACATGAGCCGAAATCAGCAGTAATACGTCACGTTATATTAATCACGTTTAGCTTAATTAAGCCGCCTAGAGACAGACAGTGATGCAAAGGTTCTATTCACTTGTGTGGGGATATCAATTGAGCAATCCTCATCCAGAACAATGAACAATCAGTTTAAGCGTCTTGGATTCGACTGACACACACACCGTGTCGCTTTGTTGCCGATTCGCCTTTTCTATTCAATAAAACACATCCTTCTAGGACCTGCTGCTCTTTATTATACACTTGTTTACGGGTTTTTGTTGTTACAAAAGACACGACACTATCTTGCGAACCGAAACTTTTCTACAAAATTAAAGCAAGTGGCAAAATATTGCATCAAACTCTGTATTGTAATTAAAATAAGTGCTCCGCTTTTATACATATTAGTATAAATGTTTTATCACTATATTGAAAATAAAAAATGAAAACAAAATACTTGTGCAACAACGAGTAAAATTATTAGTTGTTTTAAACATATTGTGACGTTTTTATTCAAAAGTGAAAACAATAAAATGTTAATACAAATCAAGTAATAGTGTAATAGTTTTTACAAAACATTTTAATGCAATTAAATTTTAATTTGAGATTAATTTGGGTTTGGTCATGCAATTCGCTTTTTGTAAACTGGCCCTAATAGTGTTTGTTAGTGGCTTTCCCGGCGCATCCACCAAATTTTTTATCTCTTACATAAATTAATTTTTTTCTAGTTGCTTATTTTTGGTGAAAAAAATCAATAAAAAACCGAACCGTATGTGTATTAGTCGTGCGTGTTTTCCATTTTCTGTCGTTACATTCGTGTCAATCAAACGACGGCTAAGCCTTTGCATGTCGGCGAAAATTGCAAATCAAGTGTTACATTACTTCTCATCTTGAAATCGCCGTATAATTAAAATTTACAATTTACATTCGACAGGAATAAAGTCACGTATTGACGTAAAAGTCGAAGAAAACAACAGGTTGCCTAAGAAGGCTTCAATAAATTCAAGTGACTTGGCCTGTGATGATGGATCCGGAAAGTTGTGTTTGAAACAAAATTAATAAAGTGGAGAAATACTTGTTTGAATTAATATTGGTTTAAGTGAAAACCTTGATTTTGAAATGCGTGACAAAGGTTGTGAAGCAAATATCAATTATTTGACTTTTTAATGATTAGTTTATTACTTACAAAAGCTGTAACACATTAATAGCTTATTCATAAAGATTTTGGAATAATGAAAAATATTTGGTTATTGGTAACCAGAAGTTTCTGATTTGGCTTGTGTCTTCGATTTAAAATGTAAAATTTAAAAGGTGATTTATGTACTGTCATTGCAATATAGAGACTGGGGCAATAAAATTTATTACAAGCATGATAAAATTTTGATAAATAACCTCTATCAATATTGGTTTTAAAAGTGGAATTAAAAAAAAACTCGCTTAATGGTGTAAATGAAGCAGCATTTAAGAGTAAAACATCTAATAAAATGATTAATTCCAACTTAGCATGCAATCTAATTTTTCACGCCGGCCCTAAATCTAATCTTTTTCCCAATTACTATCTGCTTTTATTTAAAATCCGGCCGTGTTTATTTTGAGCTGTAATTAAACGATTAAAAAACAAAACCAATTTACATTAAAATATAAATTACAAAAGCGGATTTAATAGCATCGGGTGTCTGAATTCCCTTTATTCGTTTATTTCCAATATCGATTCTGAATTAACTCCACAATAATTTTTCACCGTTACCTAAGAAGTAAAAGAGAAAAAGCGCTTCAACTCGAAGGTCAAGGTGACCAAAAATATAAAAATCTGGATTTAACCGCATGCAATTTACTAATAAAACGAATTCATTGCTACAAAAGTAAAGACTGAGCACGTTATCTTTACAATAAGGACGCTGAAATCCAAATACGCGGAAACCTCTAAGGCAACATCACATATTCTATCGACAACTTATAACTTATTTATATTTGTAAAATATTGTCATTCATTTTTTACGTATAATCAAAATACTTGTATTGTAGTTCACTACATTTTTTTATAAAATTAATATCCTATAGTCGCGGTAAATTCATAGTGGCCATTTAATTTATCTCAGAGTTGGCGGCACTTAGCCCGCCACTTCTAGTGTGTGGGTTTTGTCAAAGTTAGTCGCAGAAATAACTAAATTGTGTCAACAATTGTGACAGGCACAATAGATTTTATATGTAAAGTATTCTAACCTGCCTTTTTTAGAATTGTCATTTTTGAAAGCTATGTCTCTAAAAAGAATTGGCTGTTTAAAGTCGGATTTACACAAATGAATTTTTACAAATTTACACAGGGAAATGGCCACTATGAATGGTACGGACAAATAAATAATTAATTCGGACGAGGCGAAGCCGAGTCAGAATTTGTTTGCGTAATGGGTCCGTAATATCCTGGTTATGGACAAATAACGTAACGTACTTTATTTCATACTGAAACTCACTCAAAATTAAGAAGAACCAAAAATGCATTTGTTCAAACCTACGTCAAGCAAAAATGGATAATGGTTGTGTGTTTACAATTTGCGATCAGTCAAAAAAGTAATAATGTTAGATCAAAATATGAAGAATTATGAGGAAACCTTAGAAAAAAGTAAAACTGCTACTGCAAAACTTATTCCTCTCAAGGCTGAGGAGCGTTACAATAAAGAATACAAGGTGTTTAATGAATGGCGGCGGCAACATGAAGTGAAAATAATTGATGAGAAGCTCTGCTAGCATATTTATATGATATGGTGAGTGGTTTTTCCGTTTTACATATTTTTAATACAATTTGTTCCATTTCTAGTCCACAAAATACTGCGGTCCTTCTTTGTGGAGCAAATATTCAATGGTAAAATCAATGTTGCATGTCTTTGAGAACATTGATATTTCAAAATTTGCAAGATTGGAACCATTTATAAAAAGACATTCAGTTGGTCACCAGGCTAAACAAGCAGTAGTTCTCACCCGAGAAAATCTTTATTTATCAAAAATACTCCTGATCAGGAGTCCTCTACAAAAACTGAACCATCAGGAGACAATGTCTGCGACAGAAGTTCGAATGTCATATTGTCAATAACGCTTTAAATCTTGAATAAATTTGTCCACTGCAAATTAATGGAGACGAAAATTCTACAATTAACATTAATTTTGAGATTCCAAAATATTCTTAGTTCTAGTTAGGGGTTGGAACTTGGTTTATTTTTGATAAATATGTTGTAGTTAATAATAATTGTAGTTAATAAATAAATATTTCTTATAAAGCCAGCTATGAATTGAGTTCCGTAAAAATCTAACCCTACCGATGAGAACGATATTCCTGTGCTGAAAAAGGTAAATCTACAAGATTTTTCTCCTCCGCAGCACCGTTTATGCTTCGGAAATTTTCGAAGGAAGCATCCGCCGCGTCGGAAATAAGCAATCAGATCTGAGCGTCACCCAGTTTGTGCAAATTAAGAACGTGATTAAAGGGCAAATTGTTGCATTTGCATCGATGCAAGTTTATTTTTGATTTAGCGGTTGCCAGCATCCGGATTTTGGTTCATTGTCGAGCGCAAATCGGAAGAGATAAGGCCGACGTTAATCTGAAAGAGGTAATTGATGGACAGGTGAATTGAGGGTGATTTTTCCACAGTGAAAATGTCGTTGCTGGGAGATTGGATCGGGAATGCACAATTTTACTATAGACATTTTGAACGTAAATTATGGACCGACGATTGCCGTGTAAGTAGAATAACTTCGATGCTGATAGCGCATTCCGCGGTGACAATTTGGACTGATGGCAGCGGTGTTATTCAGATATGAATCTCCCTTATCAGGGGTTTTGGGTTGATGAAAGATCAATACGCGAGAAGGAGATGCTTCAAAGAAAATCTGTCCTCATATGCAGGTTTTAAATTGTTCTTATCAATCGTTTACATCATGTAGTATTTGTCTCAAATTGTTGTGGACGTTTAGAGTCTATTTGCGATAATTTCATTATTATTTTATAAAAATTAGGTATTTAGCAATAGAAAACAATATGAAGCAGATTTTGCATAATAAAAGTATATTGACACCATATGTTTCTTGGCAGTTTTGGATGTAGCTTTTTAAGACAATGTTTTTACGTGAAACTTTTATTAGTCGATTTTGCTTAGTTTTAGAAATAAGACGGTTTTTTTGACGAAAACATGCACTTTTTAAAAATATATTACACAAAAAAAAGGAAGCTAGAACAAATTTTTTCTTACTTCTGCAAAGAAGAAAGTACAGAATCTCAGCTGTAACAATTTTTTAGTGTTGTGCATTTGTAAAGATTAAAAAATGAAAAAGTTTGTTAAAAGTTAAATAACTTACTGTCTAAATTGTCTATCTAAAAATACAAACTTTTAAATGTCTAAAATTGATAAATAAAAAAATATTTAACATTATACAGGGTATTTCACAAGTGATAATGAGCCTGACCAAATTTGAACTGCAGCCAGCAGTACATTTGCATAGGCTTCATGGATTTTGATTATGAATTTTAAAATTAATAAAACATAGTTATAGCGTGATTGACACAAAGAAATTGACAAGAGAGGAAACACAAGTTTTAAGGGTATTTGTCTCTCTACCGTTGGAAAACACTTTAGTTATTCAAGCCTTTTTGGAGCTTTCCTATTCGTGAAACATTGTCTTTACAAACGCTCAACGGCAGAAGCATATAGGAGAAAATCAGCTGCCAATAGATGGTACTAAAACATCAATGTTTTCCCCATTTGAATAGTTTACAGTTGATGTGCCAGATGTCTCTTCCTAATTTTGACATTTTTTTTGTTTAAAATAATAATGACATAAGTTGAAATCTCCATTTTAGAAAGTAATGCATCGAAATAGAGCCTCCCACATAGTCTTTGCAATGAAATTCGAAGCAAAATTGCTTGTAAGTACTCATATTTACATTGACTTGTCAAATTGACAAAAATGGAAAACTGATATTGTCAAAATATGTTTTCCCCATTTGGATAGTTTTTTGCCTGCCACCAGAGGTCAGTTACTTTGCTGATTTTCTCCTATTTTCCAAATTCGCCATAAATGAGAATCAGATCTGTTTTCTCATCGTTCGAATGCATTTTGACTTTTTGCTAAATTTAATGTCAGTTGTGACAAATAAAATTATTGGAAGCAAGCTATCGTGGATTCATATTCGGTTTTTCAAAAAATGCGATATCTAAAATATCCACGTTAACTTTGCAAATGTATTGTGGGTTGTATTTTCAATTCCTTCAGGCTCATTATCACTCGTGAAATACCCTGTATATCTGTATTTGTAACAACAATATCTATCAATATATGAGCATTGTTGATACTATGGCAACCCTAGTAATTCCACCACAGATCACTTATCCGTTGATTTATCCGGAGAATGTAAAAGTCGACATAAATACTGAAATTTGAATTGTTTTATTTTAAAAATAAAGAATAATGGATTCATTTAATGTAAATGTAATTATTAAGTGATATTTCTTCCATCTCTTGTGCAACTGTGCACTTTTTGGCTACTGAAACAATAGTTATTTTTTTTAATGCTTAAAGTTAAATATCTTTTTAGTAATTGATTATAAACACCTAAAATGATTTTCAAAAGACAATTTAATAATCTCTTGAACACAAAAACAATAAATAGGATGTTATATTTATTTTTTTTATATTATTGAACTTTAGGCAAACGTCTTATTTTTTTTATTTTTGCAAATGCAACACACTAAAAAAATGTTACAGCCTCATAGCTGGTACCTTCTTCTTTGCGGTAGTAAAAAAATATTTTTAGATGTCTTAGGTTTTGTGTAATAAAGTTATATAAAGTGCATGTTTTCAAAAAAATACAAGCACAAATATCTAAATACATGATTATACAATTTTCGTTACAAACATAATAACATTATTTAATATTTGTATACAGGTGATTTTTTTAAAACTATGTAAAATAAAATTTTGCTTAAAAACATTGTCATAAAAATCTACATCCAAAAATGGTGTTTTATTTAAAAAAAGCACAAGTTTGTATTGTAATTATTTTTAAGACACGCTGTATAGTTGAAAATAATTTTAAGCGACGGATTAGATTAGTATCTACTCGTATCAATGCCTGTATATATTTATATATTAAATTTTACCATTTAAAGGTCATTAATGGACTTTACCAACTCGCTGAGACACCCTGTATACAAATATTAAATAGTGTTATTATGTTTGTAACGAAAGTTGTATAATTATGTATTTAGATATTTATGCTTGTATTTTTCCAAAGTAAATACCCATTTTATATATTGTTTGTAACAATTACATAAAACAATAAATCAAGAGAAATACACTGTTTTAGGTATATGTGCGTAGGTATTTGTTTATTAATTACTAATGTGTTTATTATTAATAATATATTATTATTATAGGAATAAGGTAAGTAGGTAAACAAAAAGGGTTAGTCCCGGCGCATCCACCATTTTAGAGTACATACAAATTAACGGAAAAATAAAAATAAAGTTAACCCAAAAGTTATAAAATAAGTAGGGCAAAACATTGAGATGTTGTCTCATTTCATGTTAGACAAAGAAAGCTTTTGCAATTTATCACAAAGTATCTTAACACTTTACGCTTCCAAACATTCTCCCATTTTCGTGTTTGTTAAATTTAGCATTTCTTGAGGAAACAATGTATCTCTTAGTTATTAAAACTTAACATGAAACCCTATATTTGCAAACACAATGGAAAGGTTTTCTGTTTGTCTCACCTTCTGGAAGCAACAGTCTTAAAATCCCGTCGAACTCTGAATCAAACTTTTTCTCAACTTTGCGTCGCAAGTCTCTCACTTCTCATCATCGTTTATAACACCGAACATTAAACACTGAAAAATTTCCTAAACACGAATTGACAAAGAAAACCTACATTTTTCCTGTTCTACCGATATCTGTCTCAAGTTTCTCATGGTTTACCTGTGATACGTATTTTGTGAAAGACCGACGTCGAGTGAAGCATCTGCGAAAGCGTCGCGCGATTTCAATTTGAAACAGACGCTAAGGGCGCAAGCGCCCCAATCACGATTTTTAGTTTTAGGAAAAAGTTTTCAAGCTTGATTGGCATTTACGCGACGAATTACTGGGAGTTGCTTTAAAGTTGGCTTTTGTAATTGTCATTTCATACTTTCAAATTTGTAATTTAAATTTTTTATTGAAAATAAAACGGCTTTTTTAACTCTTATGACAAGTTTTCCTTAGTTCTTTGTTATTTAATTAACCGCAACTAAATTTTATTAATTTTTGCTTTGTTATATTTCTTTTGCTATGTGAGTTGTATGTTTTTTCCTTGAGTTTTTAGAAAATATTTGTTCTAAAATTGATAGCCTCTCTGTATTTTTTTATTCACTTTTCTAATAATGAGCACTTGTAATCCTACGTGACGTAATACATGGTTTATTTCTAGTGATAAAGTAATTAAGATTTAAGATATCGAAAAGAGGCTTCGTCGCAACCTCGAGATGATTATTACTTGGTTGTTGACGCTTATCATTTGCTAAATGCTGCAATTTGACACGAGGGTATTGCCTCACAAACTACTAAAGCTGTTGGAGAAAATCAATTACGAATACGTTCAAACTGAATGTGAAAAAAGTTAGTTATCTAATCATCATTTAGATTATTCAGATAATTAAATGTTAACTATAAAGTCGTTAAGAAAATAATTTACTTTTAATGAGCAGTTATAATGATTATAAAAAGTTTATATGACTCTTGTAAAACGCCGATAAAAAATTGATTTATCAATTAAACTTATCAAAGATATCAAAGTATTATAATGAAATAAACGCCTTTCTGGTTGATTTTAAAGATTTATATTATTAGACAAAAAAACTTCAATTTTTAAATTTATATATATATATTTTTTTTAAAAACAGTTAATTTATTTTTGTTGCAAATTAAAAGACCGAAACAAAAAAATTACAAACTAGACACTCTATACTTTTTTCTGCTCCCACATCTAAAACATGGATTATCGTATATGTTTCTATGACGCTAAGTGATCTTATATTCATCTTGACAAGCCGTGACTAATATGCGTTTTAGTTACGTTGCTAATAGCAACTGTCGTATTAGTTAAGCGCAAAGTTAGCTTTCTGTTATTTAATTTTATTTGTAATTTAAGAAAAAATTTTGTGGTGGTCGTAGAAAAAGTATAGTATGTAACACGTATATAAACTTCTCTAGACATTCGTTTTATCAAACACTCAAAAACTCATGTCTAAAATGACGTTTATAGTACTAGTTAAATAATATACTATTACATACATTACATTGTATTTTTACATTACATTTTTCTAAAAATGCAGTCAGTGGGTCCAGATTTGATTTTCTTAGACATTTTACCGACTTTCTTAGCTTAGTAATACATAACTCCTCTATAACGAGTCCCTGTTATAACAGAAAATCAGCTATAACGAGTAAATCGTCTGGTCCCTTGCCGTTTTGTATACTACTCTATGTAAAATTCTCCCTCTATAGCGAGTATTTTTCTGGAATTGAGAGGATATAACAATACTTTTTTTGTCCAAGATCGGTAATAACGAGAAGTTCTGAGAAATTTCGGAAACCGATCGGTTATAACGAGAGTTCCTAGAAGAAATAAAAATCCTGCGAGTCTCCATTACATATTGTGTAATAGAATTTTTTTGGGAAATGTTGTTTTTGCGTGCTAATGGTCTTATTTTTTTCACTTTCTCAGACTTGAGTAACTTTTCAAACCGAGAACACTTTGTCTTTCTGTATCAATATGTCGTCTTCAAAAAAAAAAACATTTTTTAATAAAGAAAAAAAAAATAATAAATGAGTTTGAAAGTGGTAAAAAACGAGCTGTAATCTGCAAAGAGAAAAATTTAGCCAGTTCTACATTGGCAACAATTTTATACAACAGAGACAAGATTACGAGTTCAACTGGTGAAGTTTCGTCAAAAGTTAAAAAGTTACAAACTGCTAAAAATGCTAAATTAGATAAAGCCGTTCTTACTTGATTTAAAGTGAATCGCGAATCCAATGTGCCTATAAGTTAAAAGAAAAAGCAGAACAATGGAACAATGTGGAGAAAAAAATGGGGATTCTCTAGAGATTAATTTTTTTGTTATTGGATGCTTTCAACTAACCACGATATCTTTTTGAATAGCCTTGTACAATTGGAAAGTGCAATTGATAAGATAGAAAAAACAAACAAAAATTAATTTTTTTTTTAAATATTGTTTTAAACTTCTTTAATATTCGTATTTAAGAAATAATTTGCATGTGTACATTACAAGCGAGGTGGTAAATATGGCATTACCCCGTTATAGAGGGGTTTTACTGTACTTCATTTTTGTTTATAAATTAGACATAACTCTGTTTATTTTACAATACTGTTAATAATAAAGACAACAAATGCTCTTAGTGTCATGGTTACACAGGTTTTTTAATCAACTTATTTATTTTGTTTTACGTAGTAACAGGTGTTTTTTCAAAATTTAGCGTCAAAGCTACCCATGAAAGTGTGATTGTGAACGAACCATTTTTTTGAAAGTTATTAATCTGACATTTGATAACTCGCCAAACGTATTAAAAAAATTGTGGTCCCCCAAATTTAAATAAACACCTGTTAAAATAGAAAAAAAATTGAACGTCTTTTAATTACTACATTTACTATTATTATTAATTACTAACAAGTAATGGTGACCTTTAATTTTCTATAAAAATTTATTTTAAAATTGTAAAACATAAATAAAAATGTATGTCGTTATTATAGTGTTTCGTGTTTCAAAACAAGTCATTTCTAGCAAACCTTGACTAGACAAAATGTTTAAAAAATTGAAAGCAAATAAATAATGATACAATAATTTTAAAAACAATAATTTATTACATAGGATTATTATTAACAGTTTAACTATAAATAATCTCGTGACAATTTAATATGAAAGCAGATTTATCGGTGTTCTAAGTACAGCAAGTTCTTAAGCGTGATGTCTCATTCACTTATCTAAGTTTACAATTTCTACTTAACTATAATTAAGTTTATAGATATTTATTTCAGTTACATCAGAATTAACGTTTCATTTCAATTACAATGTGTAGCAAAATATTTATTTCTATTCGTGACATAGGCCATTTCTCCGTGCCTGTAAGATAACCCTGAGATAATCCTCATCGATTTTCTATGAAATAGTAAGAATTCGATGTAGAATAGCCAAACTTGCTTAAATAATTTCAAATTTCGAACCGTCTTTAGTTGTCTGTAAAATTTTCATCGGAGGTGCTATTTTAAAGTCGTCTTGGGTCATTCACTGCAACCCTTTTCACCGAATCCTACTGAAAAATTAATCAGATCATTAAAGTCTAAAAATACAAAATGAAGCGAGTTTTGTGAAACTATTCATGGAGTTGATACGCCCGAAGGCACAAAGGCAGCAATTTGCCTATGCTGAATGAAAGATACATGACTGGGGAGGATCAGGCTTCCGCACTGTGTCAGCAGACCAACCGCTGCACCTTTGATACCAATCCGAAACCTAAAACAAACCAAAACTTTATTATCGCAACTCTATACGATCACAACTTAACACTTTCACGGACATAAACCGAAATATAGCCGCCATAAAAGGCGCACCACCGATATATCTCCAAATTAGAGAAATATAAACAAGGCAACATAAAAGCCACAACACTGCTAGAAGTTCGTAACCACGTTCACATCAGAAACAGATTTTTTCCGAAATCGTCACTAAAGTTACATAAAATCGTCAGTGAGGACTCTAACATCGGCACTAAACTAGTTCATTATTCTACAATTTTGTGTATTGGGTAATAACACTTTGACACTAACAGTTTGATTTGATTTTGTCTGAAGAACAAATCAACATATTGAAACGATTTTTTTTTAAATAATAGATATAAATAGGTACATTACGGACGTGATAATACATGTATTCTAAAAATTTGTTATTAACAAATAATTTAAAAATATATTGTTTAAACAAAAAATAAACAATTGCGCAGGTTTTTAAAATTTTTCATAAATCTATGTAAAAGCGTTGCATAGTGCATGATTGCCTAAGATCGCCTGAAAGAAGCGTTTCCTTGGAAATTAAATAAAAAAATTACCAATTACCGTCACTAATAAACTGTTCTAAAGAAAACACACAATTTCCAATAACTTATTAACATTTATTTTTCAAAAAATATCAATCATAAAAACAAATTCTTCGGTTGAGTAAATATTTCACAAATCTTTCACATATTACGTTTTGTTATGCAGGCAATGTCAAAATTCCCGGACCAACGTGACATGGCATGTAAGGTAAGATACCAGGAACATGAAAAAAATGTTAAAAAAACAATTCAATCTTTAAAAAAAAATTACATTTATTTTTTGAAATTTGACATTTTTTATGTCTATTTAATGATATTGATCATCTTAAACAAAAAAATAAACAATTACTCAAGTTTTTAAAATTTTTCATAAATGTATGTAAAAGCGTTGCATAGTGCATGTTTGCCTAAGATCGCCTGAAAGAAGCGTTTCCTTGGAAATTAAATAAAAAAATTACCAATTACCGTCACTCATAAACTGTTCTAAAGAAAACACACAATTTCCAATAACTTATTAACATTTATTTTTCAAAAAATATCAATCATAAAAACAAATTCTTCGGTTGAGTAAATATTTCACAAATCTTTCACATATTACGTTTTGTTATACAGGCTATGTCAAAATTCCCGGACCAACGTGACATGGCATGTAAGGTAAGATACCAGGAACATGAAAAAAATGTTAAAAAAACAATTCAATCTTTAAAAAAAAATTACATTTATTTTTTGAAATTTGACATTTTTTATGTCTATTTAATGATATTGATCATCTTAAATATGTTTTTTTTAATAACTATTTAATAAAGGTACAATAATTTTGCCAATAAAATCCACAAACAACATTAGACAGAGTTACAATTTAGGATACAGCTTCCTTGTTTCTTCTTATAGCCTGTAGCAAAAAAAACATGGACTATTATTTTTCCAACAGAAACAAATTTAAACTCTCATAACTTCGAAATTTTTATAGATATTTTTTTTTACATTTTTTCCATGCTCCTGGTATCTTACCTTACATGGCATGTCCCGTTGGTCCGGGACTTTTGAGACACCTTGTATATCTAATCGACAAGTTGAAAGACTTTGCGATTTTTTAAATGATCGTTTTAGTCGAGCGAAGCTCATAAAAGGTACGCGAAATCTACATACTTTTATTCTAATAAGAAAGTAAACAAAATATAGAGAGTACTCTTCCTCAACCGAGGAATTTGAATTTATTATTGATATTTTTTGAAAAATAAATGTTAATAAGGTATTGGAAATTATGTGTTTTCTATACAGCAGTTTATTAGTAACGGTAATTGGTAATTTTTCTATTTAATTTCCAAAGAAACGCTACTTTCAGGCGATCTTAGGAGATCATGCACAATGCAGCGCCCTCAAAAAAATTTTTTTTCAGCTATTTTTAAAACGTCCGTGTTGAAATTTATGTAAAAACATAGTAAAAATATTACATAAATTTTTTGAGAATTTTAAAAATTTGCGTAATTGTTTATTTTTTCGTTTAAACAATATATTTTTAAATTATTTGTTAATAACAAATTTTTAGAATACTTGTATTATCACGTCCGTAGTGTACCTAATACTTAATCTATTATTAAAAGAAAATCGTTTTAATATGTTAGATAAAAATTCTTTTTGTTACGAGGTACTTAATTTTGTACATCCCTGTTTTTTCAACATACATTGAAAAAATAAAAAACGGTGGAATACGTTTCACTTGTTTTTACACGTTCTATAACATATCTCAAATTTTCAAAAATCAGAAACAATGAGTTTTAGAAGTGATCGTTTTGGCGTGGAATTACTCAATAATAACCTGTCCCTCAAAAATAATGTTGCACAAATTTTGTTAAAATGTGAAATTTTGGAAAAAATTAATATGCACCTCGGCAGTAAAGTCATTTTTCATTACTCATGTGTTTTATTTGTTTTGGTTATCGCAACTAAACACACAATAATGAAAATAAGACTTTGGTGCTATGTATGTATTGTGCTATAACTATGTATTAAATGACTACAACCAACAATACGAGAGTGTCATCTTGTTGTCTTCCAATTAAGTTAGCGACCGCTTTTAATAAGCCTTTAACTTCTTTTCCATTCATACATTTTTGTTGACTTTTAAATTGGTAAATAGAGTTATCTGTCTTGCAAATTTCTAAATAAATTACAATGAATTACACTTCCGTTCGTTTAAATGAGTTTCATCCCAGCATGCGTATGGAAGAAATCAAATCTATTTGAAAATTCTCGAACAAGCTTTTATAAAGCTCTCTGTTGTACCGTAATTCCATTTGGTGCTATCAGTATTTTCAAAAAAAAACATTACTAATAAACGGAAAAACGGATCGCAAATGCTGACAAGATATGCCATCTTTATAGACAGCTCGAGGCTGAAATTTTTTGTGATTGTGATCAGGACCGGCTTTAAACATTTGAAAAAATCCACTCTTTTTCTTTATCTCGCAAGGATGTTGGTGTAAAATATTTGTAGTATTGAGGCTGTAAATTGTTATCTTTATTATTTTAAAATTTGTTGACTTGTTGAAAATAATATAAACCGTCTCTTGCAGAGCTATCAAATGTGTTTTTATCGAATGTGGTGACAGAACTTTTAACAATTAAAAGAGACATTCCACAAACGCTGGAACTTAAAGGAAACGATGTGATGGGACACACAATCACGATCTCATCGCATTGCCCAGATTCAATGGCTTTGAGGCGACTTTGAAGGAAATTCAACGGAAACACGATAAATTAAAAAATGCTGGACTGTTGAACCTTGAACATTTTTACGACTGGCAATATAATTTATGACGACAGTGCATTACTGCATTAATTAATAAAACAAAGTGAATTAATGTTTTGCTCATGTATTACATTGACAAATATTTTGCAAAATGTGGGTCACAACTACGGATTAATTTAAATAAAATAGAACAATAACTAATAGGAGGAAAAACACACTTTTACTTTTCTAATCCATTTTATTTATTTACTTCTATTATCATTTTTATTACAATGGCAGCTTAATAAAAAAAGATATCTTATTTAATGATTGTCAGTTGTATCTTACAATCTAATGATGTACAATACGGTTTCTGTGATATTTTTGGTGCCGTTTTTGGCAAGTTTGAACCATGCTTTAACCACATTTCCAGTCAATTACAATATTACAATTAATCCAGATTTGGATAATTTGAACTTTACAAGTGAAACAATTATTTCCATTCAAGTGGAGGAAACAATAGAAAATGTGACATTAAATTTCAAAAATCTAATAATTAGTGATCCAATCAAAATCACTAATTCAAAAGCTGAAGAAGTAACAAATATTTTGTTAAATGAAGAAAACGAGACTTTAGTTTTCCATTTTCAAAACCCACTGGCACCAGACTTGTATCTTGTGAATATCATTTCCCGTGGTAAGATAAACACAAATTTAGAAGGTTTCTATCAGGTTGAGACACAAAACAAGTATGAAAACCTTTCCTCTAAATTAACTTTACTTAATTGTTAATCTTAGGAAAATTTTTCTGACAAATTTCCACTACACCAAAGCGCGTCAAGTTTTTCCCTGTTTTGACCATCCAAATTTTTTGTCAACATTTACCTTGACTCTCACACATCCGAAAAACTACAAATCGGTTGCAAGTAGTGTCAAAATTTCAGAAACTGACATGTAACAAATCAAAACAATGATTTTCAATTTTTATTAATTAGAAATTTTAGAGATCAGGCTACAGTTAAGTCTGTTTTTGCACAATCAGACCCCTTGCCTCCTCATTTATTTGCTTTTGCCATCCACGACTTGGCTCAAGTCAAATACGAGGAAGTTTCAGTGATTACAAGAGACAGGAACGAAACTGAATATCTTGGACAATGGTCAAAAACCGTTTTGTATCATTTCCAACAAAATGAACCCTATCGAATTGAGAAATTGGACCAGATTGTTATCCCCGATTCTGGCTTGTCGCAAGATGTTGTGGTCAATGTCGGATTAATTTTTTATAGAGAATCTGTGGTATTTTATAATACAGAACGAGAAACACTAGAAGATAAGCAAGAGATAGGAAAACTGGTCGCTGGGGCGGTTGTTAGGCAGTGGTATAAGTATGCAAACACGACCAAATGGTGGTCCAACTTGTGGATTAGTGAAGGAATCTCCTCCTTGTACCAGTTTAACATTTTGGAAAATTATTGGAAATGGAGAGTTTTTGAACAGTTTCTAATACAAGAACTTGAAGACACGTTTGATTATGATGCCAATATAGGGATTACAACCAGTGTTGCAAATCCGGACGACTTTTCACAATTTCACAAAATTAAATGTGAGTTAATTAAAGTAGAAATTATTGTTATATTTTGTGCTTACAGCTTTTGCTCTGGTTAGGATGTTTTTACATTTGTCACAACCTGGCGAGTAAGTGGCCAGATTAATACATAATTATTATCTTGTAATTATTTCCATTTTTAGTATTCTTGAAGATGATAATGTAATGGCTTTGTCATGGACACAGAAACCTGGATTTCCGGTTGTGGAAGTGAAAAGAAATGCCAATATTTTTACACTTAAGCAAACTGGTGTCTCCTCTATCCCGATTACAGTTGTGTTTTCAATCCCCATTAGTGTTGTTTTTCAAGATGAAACAGACCTTAGTTATGACTTAATTTTAGAAGAAAGTAGTCAACAAGCAAACTTATCAATGTCAGAGTCTTGGTATATCGTAAATTATGACCGATATGGTATTAATTAATTAATTTTAATTGACTAACATCTATAGTGATGTGTTTTAAGGATACTTCCGGACAAATTATGACAATGACAATTGGCAAAAACTTATAGTGTTGTTACAAAACTCAAACATCGATAAAATTAGTCCACTAAACAGAGCAGCATTAATACAAGATTCATTTAATTTGGCAAAGTCAAATTTGTTATCATATGACATTTATTTAGAATTAACTAAATATTTAAAAAAAGAAACAGATTATATTCCTATTTACGCGTTTATTAAGACTGCAAATCGTCTTAAAGCTCTGTTTGCCGAAACAAATATTCAAAACACATTTATGGTACGTCGAGTAGTTGAAATATATGTATGTTTGTTAATTAATTTAATTTTTAGGAACATGCAAGAAATTTAGTTCAACATATGTACAACAAAATTGGAACCTCTCTTACGCCTTTAGACACCCATTTAGACACTTTGAGTCGTATCAAAATTTTAACGTGGCTGTGCGATTTTGGACTGGACAGTTGTCGAAAAGAAATGTTTGAAAAACTAAGTCAAGGAAAAGGAGTTGAACCAGATTTACAAGAACTCGTGTATTGTGGAGGAATGCGTCTTGGTACTTTGGAAACATTTATGTTTCTCAAAGAACAGCACAACAAACATAAAAAAAATAGAATTTTGAAAAGTATGGCTTGCACTTCTGATATTGGCCTTTTAAGGTTTGTTGTTTATTTTTTGTGTTTAATTTGAGTTAAATTTTAACAGGAATTACTCGCTGGCTATTGTTGACGATAATATAATCCTTCGCCTTAATCCCGAATTTAAATTAAGTGCACTGAAGGCTATTATAGATGGAAGTGATGCTGGCGTTAATGTCATACTTGATGTTGTTAAAAAATATTTGGAATATATTTTAAAAAGGTACAACGTTACATAGCCAAACACAAACAATTAATTTTCCTTTAGTTTTACAGTTGAAGAAATTGCAGAAATATTTATTTCTTTATCAAAAAAATTGGTAACTGAAGAACAGAATGCAAAGGTATTATTTTTCAAATTTTTTTTTGTTTTCTAAATTTTTATTATTAGATTGATGAAATTGTGGCTTGTCTCGATAATGATCAAAAAGTAGCATATGGCAAAATTTTCGAAACTGTGAAAATAAACATCAAAGAAAATATTGCTTGGAGGAAAACCCATTTGGACGTTTTTAGAAAATGGTTAAAAGTGGATGAAAGTACAACAACTAGTACAACAACTACAACAACGACAACGGAAAGTACGACACCTGGAGGAGCAGCCGCATTGAAAATATCATTGTTTAGTTGTTTAATGTATTTATGCCTATTTGTTTTATTTTAATGTAATGGAAGAAAATTATTATTTATAATAACACACAAACAGTTTAATAAACATGTCACAAAAAGAAATAATATTGACTTTAGAAATAAATTATAAAAATTTAGTTACACTTACATGTTTTTAATTTATGGCAATTAATAAATGAGTTAATAAAAGAATTGTTGAAAGTTGTTTGTTCATTTACCATGAAAAGTGTACCAATTGTGACTGTTTTCCTTTTAATAAATTTTTGCCTCGATTTTTACAATTCGGTTAAGATTCGTAAATATTTTACTTAATTGTAAAAACAAATTTAAATAGAAATTTTCGTAGCACCGAATTTTAAAAAATGTAACTGAAAACGTAAAAATTTTAACGATTGTTTATCAATTGCCGTCAAAGATGCCATTAGACAGTTAAAGTACTCAAAAGCAGAAGTTGGTTTGCCGTCTCTTGATACCATCATGGGTTATTAATCTGGAGGGACTTAAATAATCTTACCGAAATTACAAACTGTGGAGACTTACCAATATGACATCAATAAAAGTAAAGTACTTTTAATTGTTTAATTAAGTTTACTACAAATTAATTTTAATTAAATACAGATTTTGAGGCCAACATTCTCAAAATAGAAGCACAATTCTTTGATGTTAAAGGCGAGTTTCAGTATGAAATTGAGGGAAGGCTTTTAATAATGGAACTTAATGGTTGGGTTGATTTTGGTAAATATGACAAATGCAATTGAAGAATACGAAAAACAAAAAAAAATATTATAAAGTAACCGAAAGTAAGTTTATAGTGATACCTCAGCTGGTAAGTGCAAAATTTGATATCATCAATGGAGACAGTGCCTTGAGTGATAATATTAATAAGATTCTTAATGAGAATTGGAAAAGTCTTTACGTGGACATAAGTTTTACTTATGAAGATGCTTGTGCTCAAGTGTTTCAAAGCATATTTGATCGTCTTTTGAGTAAAATACCAATTGATGAACTTTTTGATGACAAATAAAGATCATGACTTAGAGATCTTGTGTTTCTATTTTGTAACCAGACAAGGATTAAACCATTTGATCATAGGATTAAAGCAATTCAACAATAAACATAAACATTATCAATTTATTGAGACTTAAAAAAATATTTTTATTGCAAGAAAAAATATAAAACTGAAGTTAAAAAAAAACACATCAGTGTTAATTTTACAACAGTTTTATTTCACTTTTTAAGTATTATTATTATTATTGTTGCCATGTCATAAATATTCCAAACTCATTATCTTTTTTCACTGTTCACACTTTGAGTTTATGATTTTAAGGATAACAAAGTACCTAACAAAACAATAAATATATTAGCAGCTTCTTTTTTTGATAAGATAAAATATAAAAAATAGAAAAGTGTTAGTTTTAACAGTTTTAACCTTTTAGAAGGTAAGCAACACACATCTTTTTTTTGTTTCCTTATTTATTTTCTAGCTAAAATGGCATTGTTTTGGCTTTTTCTTACTCTGCTACTAGCATCCACCAAATCAACACCAATAGAACTGAAAGCAGTCGAGTACCGCTTACCCGAAGGTGCCGTTGAAGTAATCCATTATGATATTGCTCTAAATCTTAGAAGTGATGTTTTTGATACTAATACGTTTAGTGGAATAACTTATATTCTATTTAAAAATTTAAAAAACACAAACGAAATTCGTTTACACGCCAATGGTTTAAATATATCTGAAGTATTGTTAGCAGGAGTCGATGCAAAACAAATAGATCTTGAAAATAAAGATTTTGTCAGTGACTCCACTAGTGATATTCTTACACTTGTAACGAGTACCACTTTGGAGGCTGCAGTAGAATATCACCTTAAATTTACATTTGAAGCAAAATTACGTACTAATGAAATGTATGGTCTTTACAAAAGCTCTTACAAGACATCCGACGGTACGACTGCTTATTTAGCAACGACGCAATTCCAACCAACTCATGCTCGGAAAGCTTTCCCATGCTTTGATGAACCAATATATAAAGCACAGTTTGATATTAAAATTACACATCCCAGTATTTACAATGCTGTTGGAAATACTAGGAGTAGTACAAGCACTAAGGACGCGTAAGTTACCCAAAAACTACTCCAACTGTCACAGTTACCCAACATTTCAGTGAGTATAGCACGACTAATTTTGCTACCACCCCGGTCATGTCTACATATTTGATTGCTTTCGTCGTTTCGAATTTTACGTGTTCTGGTAGTACTCCAATTGAAAAAGCCATTCCACACCTTGTTTGTTCAAGAGACGAGGCTGCATCTACTAGAGAACTGGCTGAAGATGTTGGGCCAAAATTAATGTGGGCGATGGAAAATTTCACTGGAATTGCGTACAACGCGTCCAAAATTACTAAAGTGCACCAGTTTGCAATCCCTGATTTTGCGGCAGGTGCCATGGAAAATTGGGGACTAGTCACTTATAGGTAGTATTCTTTGAACTACTTTTTTTTAAATAACAAGTAAATTATAGAGAGACTGCACTTTTATGGGACCCTGAGGAGTCCTCAAATCGGTACAAACAAAGAGTTGAAACCGTAATTGCACACGAGTTGTCCCATTTTTGGTTCGGTGATTTAGTGACGACGCATTGGTGGTCAGATACTTTCCTTAATGAGGGTTTTGCAACGTATTTTGAGTATTTTGCAACAGCTGAAGTATTTGTTTTTTTTTTTTAATTTTCTAGTATAGCAAACTATAATTTTAGGTTGAAAATAACTGGGAACTAGACAAACAATTCGTAATTGAACAACTCCAACCTGTTTTAGCAAGCGATGCGTCACAATCCTCAACTCCTTTATCATCTTCTGTGTCGTCACAAGCTCAGATTCAAGGCCGGTTTAATGCAATTTCGTACAATAAAGGTACCAGACTATATGGAACAAACCGACACTAAAAACTTGTTGTAGGTGGTAGCATTTTCAGGATGGTGCGGCATATAATGGGCGAAGAAAATTTCAAAGCCGGTATTCATGCCTACTTGGAGAAAAAGTAAGAAGTTTTACTTTATCACCGAATAAATTATTAATTCAAATTTTAGCAAGTTTGGTTCAACTACACCGACCGATCTCTGGGATGCTTTAACCCCTTTTGCCAGATCGGTACTTCCTCTTAACAAAACTTTATCTATTGTTATGGATAAATGGGTAAACAATCCCGGATATCCAGTCTTGAACGTTCGAACTAATTACTCAAGTCTTGTGCTTACACAGGTCAGTACTGAAATTAAAGAAAAATCAAAAATTTGATTTCATTTTGTTAGAAAAGATTTGTGGCTTCTGGACAACCCGAAAAAGATGAGATTTGGTACATCCCGTTGAGTTATACAACAGCATCAGATACAAATAAATTCCAAAGTACATCAGTAAAGCTTTGGTACTTGCCACTCGGCACCTTGAATCTTTTATATACACCGAAAAATATAAGTGATTGGATAATTTTTAATAATCAACAAACAGGTGATAAAGCAAAATCCCTAAACTACTTTTATTCTTACTTCAAATAACCTAATATTGGGCTATAGATAACACATATTGCAGGTTATTACAGAGTTGATTACGATGACATTCTCTGGAAACGAATTGAAGTAGCTTTGAATAAGCCTGGCTTTGATGGCATCCATGAAATAAATCGAGCACAATTAATCGACGATTTGTTCAATTTTGCAAGATATGGAATTCATAGTTATACCAAATTATTTGATTTTTACCGATTTTTAAAAAAAGACACTTCCTACTATCCATGGTATTCCGCTATTACTGCTTTTTCAAATATGTTGGCGAGGACAGGAAATGAAAGAATTCGAACTACTCTTTCGGTATTGCTAATTTGACCCATATGTACCAATATAAATCACAATTGTCTTACAGGATTTTATTTTAGAACTAATTGAATTTTTTTACAATACACATCCTTTTAATAGTCAAAAAAATGAAAATCAGGTCTATACACACAGTAGGGTTTTGGCCTCGACTTGGGCTTGCAGATTAGGACTCCAAGACTGTGTTAATAATGCTTTGGCTGCGTTTAGTAATTACAAAACTGCACAAAAGTATGTTGTTCTTAAAAAAAAGTTTTATACTAAATTGGAGTTTTAGAAGACCTGATAAAAATTTGAGGTCTGTGATTTATTGCAACGGTTTACGACATAGTAATGATATTACAAATGACTGGGAAGTCCTCTGGAAAGAATACTTGAGTACGAGCATAGCAACAGAACAAATAACAATTTTGTCGGCTCTCGGATGTGCTAAAGACTCAACGGTACTTACAAAGTACTATTCCGTTTAAAAAAATAGCAAAAATAATAAACAATTCAATTTTTTTGTAGCTATTTGGAAAAATCTATTGACAGTACTTCAGGCATTAGACAACAAGATGCTCTTTCCGTCTTCTCCTCAGTGTACACAGGCAACCCTGAAGGTGTCGACATAGCATTTGATTTTCTACTTAAAAATTACAACAAAATTTCTGAATAGTACGTACTTTAGCAACAATAGTGCAAAATCTAATTTTGTTTTAGTTATGGAAGTATGAACGCGCTTAGTTCACTATTCTCAGGTTTAGCTAGCAGATTTACACGCAAAGACCAAACTGACAAGGTTTGTAATAATTGTTTAAAACTAACAAAATTCAATACTGAACTAAAATTTTCAGTTACAAAATTTCCTTGACACTGCGACTGACTTGACGGAAACTTTGCAAAATTCTGCACGTGCGGCTCTTGCCAATGCTTTAATAAATCTAGAATGGACCGAGAAATTTGAAAAAGAATTGACTCTTTATTTTAAACTTGAAGAAGAAGAAACAACGTCTTCTACAACGAGTACACCTCCGATAAGTGATGAGGATAATAATTCGGGAGAGGGTCTAACGAAAGGATTTGCAACAATTACGGCAACGATTTGTGTTCTTATACAAAAATACTTTTATTACTAAATAATTAATTTATTATTTTATATTAGTTCATTGAGTGTCGTGATTGCTAAGCTAAGCTTACAATTGTATTTTCACAATTGCAAAATTGTAAAGTATCCTACTAATTGAGAAATAAAATTGACTCAAAATAGTTGTTTTTATATTAAGTAGACAAAACGACTGGTGTTTTGACGCCAGAATATGCTGACCGAAGGTTGAGACATAAAGACATTCGATCGTTGAAAAACAATTTTGCACACATAAGATAAACAAAGTTTTTTTCTACAATATTTAAGTCAATTTCAATATGTGAAGTTCAACTTTACACATGATTGTAAAAAACATTTTGTTAATTATTCTGTGAAAAATTTTTACAAGTATGTCTACTCTTAATTATTTCATTATTAAGTTTTAGGACCAAATTTATTGCTCTCTTTTTTATCACTAAAGGATTAGCCGGGGGTATAATAAATATATTAATAACTAACACCCGTATTTATGATTAGATAACAGAAAGAATAAAACTGATATTACCACATTATTTGTCAGTTCTCACCATCCAAAAGTTACAAAAACTCTCAGATGGAGTTTTTAAAGTGGTTTGGTTTTTCGATTTTGTTAACATACGTTCAATCTGTCCCGATTGATCAGAAAGAGACAGTCGAGTACCGTTTACCAGAAGGCGTTGTTGGAGTGACACAATATGATCTTGAACTGTTCCTCGGGAGTGACAGTTTTCAGACCAATATATTCAGTGGGACGGTAAATATCCAATTAAACATTTTGCAGAGTACCAAAGAAATAAAATTACATGCAAATGGGATAAATGTCAGCTCAGTGGTACTTACAAACTTTGAAAACTCTATAGACTTAGAAAATGAAAGTTTTGAAAGTGATGAGGTGACAGAATTTCTCACAATTAGAACAAAGGAAAATCTTAGCATTAGTCAATATTCTCTCCAAATTACATACGAGGGAAAGTTAAGAACCGATGAAATGTACGGCTTTTACAAAAGCTCGTATGTAACTCCTGATGGTACTACAGCTTTCTTAGGTACTACTCAATTTCAACCAACATCTGCTCGAAAAGCGTTCCCTTGCTTTGACGAGCCGAGTTATAAAGCTGAATTTAAAATCAAAATAAAACATCCTTCCAGCTACACAGCTGTTAGCAATACTGCCGGTGCTTCAGAACCTGATGAAACGTAAAACACTGTTAAGTTGTAAAAACTTAATTTAATAGGATATTTCAGAGACAACGCTTACACAATTACAACTTTTGAGAAAACTCCTAAAATGTCCACCTATTTGGTAGCTTTTGTGGTTTCTAATTTTACCTGTGATGAAGGGGTTATTGATGATATAACTAAACATTATGTGTGCTCAAGAGCCGAGTCTGCGTCAACTCGAGAAGTTGCAGCCGAAGCGGGACCAAAGTTAGTAAAAATTATGGAAGAATGGACTGGGATCAAGTATAGTGACTCCGGAATTACAAAAATGCATCAGTTTGCTATTCCTGACTTTTCGGCTGGTGCTATGGAAAACTGGGGACTTCTCACATACAGGTAGCACATTAAGTTATAAAGCATTCAACAAGTTTGAATTTATAGAGAAACAGGGTTGTTGTGGGACAAAGACGAATCTTCCAACTCATATTTACAAAGCATAAAAAATGTCATTGCCCATGAAATAACTCATATGTGGTTTGGAAATCTTGTTACGACACATTGGTGGTCGGACACTTTTTTAAATGAGGGCTTTGCGAGATATTTTCAATACCATGGAACAGCAAAAGTATGGCAAAATAATTTAGTTACAAATTTTTATGGATAATTGTAGATTGAGCCTAATTGGGAGCTTGACAAACAATTTGTAGTAGCACAAGTCCAAACCGTTTTAGCTAGTGACTCTTCACCAACATCTCATGCTGTTTCTTGGCAGGTCTCTTCACCGGCAGAAGTGTCAAGCCGATTCAATTCAATTTCATACAATAAAGGTATGTACCACCAACTTATGAATTACTAAAAATAATAAATCTCTTATATCAGGTGGTAGTATTTTGCGTATGATATCTCATTTTATGGGCCCTGATAACTTCCAAATCGGAGTTCAGAAATATTTAAGCGATAAGTATGAGTAGTACGCCTTTATAAAACTATTTTACCGGAAAAAATTTAATTGTAGCAAGTTTGGTAATACTAAACCAGAAGATTTATGGACAGCTTTACAAACAACAGTTAAAAATTTGCCGACCGATACTACACTGGCTAAGGTTATAGAAAACTGGATTATTAAACCCGGATATCCCGTGCTAGAAGTGACGTCTAATGATCTCAGTGTTACAATATCACAAGTAAGCAATTAGTTTCAAAGAGAAATAATAATGTGTTAAATTTTTAGAAAAGATTTTTAACTTCTGGTGAACCAAATAGAGATGATAAGTGGTACGTCCCGATCAGTTACACGACTTCAAAAGATACCAACAAATTTAATGACACTTCGACTAAAGAATGGTTACTTCCAACTGATAATTTGGTTCTAACTGACGTGCTGTCAGAAGCAAATGATTGGATAATTCTAAACAATCAACAAACAGGTGACACACAAAACAAATATTTATTCTCTTCAAAACAAAATTGATAAAAGGGATTATTCTATTCAGAGTTACATATTTAGATAAAATGATGACCTCGAAATCGCACATTTAATACTTAATACAATTCGAATTCTTATCAGATGCGAGTGTAACTGATTATTGTTTTTTTGCCAGGTTATTACAGAATCGATTACGATAAAACTCTCTGGACTAAAATTGAAGCCGCCCTAAATTCAGACCGTTTTAATGGCATTCATGAATTAAACCGAGCACAAATAATCGATGATTATTACAATTTTGCAAAAATTGGTATTCATTCTTATGCCGAGCTTTTTGAACTATTCAAATTTTTAAAAAATGATACCTCTTACTATCCATGGTACTCGGCATTTAGTGCCTTCTCCAGTATGTTTGCAAGAACAACAAATGAGAAAATCCGGGAAAGTTTATCAGTAATGGATATAATTATTGTGCTTTAACACATCTAAATAATCTTTTTCTAGGACTACGTCTTGGATATAATGAAAACTCTTTACAGTTCAGTACCATTCAATGAGCCAAAAGATGACGATCAAATATACTCGCTCAAGCGGGCCTTAGCGGCTAATTGGGCTTGTAAATTGGAATTGAAAGATTGCGTATATAATGCTGTTGCAGCTTTCGAATATTATAAAAATTCAAAAAAGTTGGCCAATTTTTTTCAAATTAAAAGTTAAAATTGAAAATGAATTTTTAGGAGACCGGATAAAAACTTGAAATCTGTTATTTATTGCAACGGTTTAAGGCACAGTAATGATTCTGAAAATGATTGGAATCACATCTGGAATGATTTTAAGACGACTAGATTAGCAACAGAACAAGCCACAATTTTATCGGCTCTCGGATGTGCTAAGGATCAAAGTGTACTTAATAAATATCTTGGTTATTCAATTAATCCTAATTCAGGAATTAGGCAACAAGACGCGCTTTCGGTGTTTTCTTCAGTGTATACAAGCAATCCTGAAGGAGTAGACATCGCTTTCGATTTTTTGCTCACACATTACAAGGAAATATCTGAGTAGTATGTACTTCTATTATTCTTTGTAGAACAAAAACTAATTTTGTTTTTAGTTATGGTAGTATGAACTCGCTAAGTTCACTCTTTAGTGGTTTGGCCAACAGATTTACGCGAAAAGATCAAACTGACAAGGTTGTAAATAGAACTAATGATTTATTTAATCTATTATTTTAAAATTATCAGTTGAGCGCTTTCCTCGAGACTGCCACCGATTTGTCTGACAGCTTGAAGGCTTCAGCAAGTGCCGCCCTCACTAATGCTTTGGCTAATTTAGAATGGACGGAAAAATTTGAAGAAGAATTGTTAAAATATTTTAAAATTGAAACCACGACTTCGTCGACTTCCACAGGAAACACGACTTCGTCGATTTCCACAGGAAACACGACTTCGTCGACTTCCACAGAAGCCACGGCCTCGTCGACTTCCACAGAAGCCACGACCTCGTCGACTTCCACAGAAGCCACGACTTCGTCGACTTCCACAAAAGCCACGACTTCGTCGACTACCACAACAGCCATGGCTTCGTCGACTACCAAGGAAACTACAGCTTTGCCAAAAACGACAGCAGATGATAACAATTCGGGAACGTCTCTAACGACAGGAATTTTGATCCTAATCACCACAATATTTTGGTTGCGATATATTTTTTAATTAACTTATTAATTATTTAAGAGTATGATTCAACTGCAGCCAGAAAAATCTTTAATAAATAAACATTTAATTTTGTAGCCTATATGTTTAATTTCCCTCACGGATGATTTCACGTTCTAATAATTACAAGTTCTAATATGCCTAAAACAAATCAATATTCGACTTTCAAAATAAATTTCGACTGCTTAATTTTTACAATTAGATTAATCAACAATAGATACAAGTATGTACATACATACGAGTGTACTACTACTACCTACTTGTACAAATTTTTGAACACTGTAGAGGGTGCTGCATTTTGGATGTCCGAATAGGGAATCTCCAAAACTAAGAGGTTTAGACAAAAACGAGTGATACATTCTGGGGCTCATTTTTCGAGAAAATAATATTGGTTAAAACCGCATTCCGCTATCGTTTTTTGTTTTCGACTTACAGACAAAAGTTGACATTTTGGCGAAATCTAAAAAAATTCATATCTTCGTTATTATAGAAGATACGGATTTGAAATAAAAACATTATACAGGCACTTTTTTACGACGAATTTAATAATGTAGACATTTTTTTCAGTTATTTGTTTAGCCGTAATAAGATAAACTTGTATTTTTTTAAATGGAAATCATAGGTGGCTGCGGCAATTTTGAAAAACTTATTTTTTTCTGATATAAAAAATATATATTTGTAACAGAATATTTTTTTATAATTATACTTAAAAAATTAAATACATATTTTGTTTGATAATAGTTGGCCATGGAAAAACTATTTCACTCCAAATGTGTAAATAATTATCAATAAGAGTTTTGTGGACTGTGAAATAGATGAAAAAATATATGAAATTATAAAAAATTAAAAAATACGAAACTTTAGAAGTATTGAACAAATATGCGAGCGCGTCAGAACAAAATTATTACATATTTTTAAAAAATCCAAAAATAGGAAAAACAAATGTGTCAACAGTCAACACAATTAGAAAAAACATTTTTTGATGGTCTAATGGAGGTAGGATAACGTTCCACATAGACGGAATTTGGATATTTGGATATTTGGCCATATCGTCATTTTTATGTCATATAAAATATATTTTATTGACGAATTAAATAAACAAAAGACGATAGCGGGATATGGTTTTCACCAATATTATTTTATAAAAAATGAGCTGCAGAATGTATTACTCGTTTTTGGCCAAACCTCTTAGTTTCGGAGATTCCCTATTCGGACATCCAAAATACAGCACCCTGTACAATATACTAAACTGAGACAGAAGTCATTTTATTAAATTGAATAATAAACATCCTTATCAGAAAACTTAATCAGTACTGTATACACATTGTATTATAAAATTATTTTGTAATAGTTTGCGGGAGTAAGAAAGGGGTAAGCAAAGTAGGGAAGTGCCAATAATGGGAGCACTCTTGTTTGCTCCGCCGTTAAGTTTGGCTACACCTAACTATTCAAATTGAAAATGAGAGTTTATTTGAAAACATCACTAGTAGGTACTATTAAATACAAGAAAAAGCAGTATTACCTATTGTTGTTGATACTTTAATTATTAGGAATCAAATTTACAATCTTACCAATAATGTTAACCTACCTGCTTTTTTGAAACTTTCTTCTATTGACTAGTTTTCGCTTTATTTCTATTAATTTACTCAAAATTTACAAAAACCTGTTACTGAAGCACATGTTATTGATATGATTTTAGCACCACAATCTTTACATTTTTTAAAAAATAAACGATTAAGAGAAACTAAAAGTTTTTTTAGATATTATGCTGATATCGTTGGCTGAAACAGTTGATGTTAGACGAAATATGGAAGATATCTTATATTTTAAATTCGATTATCAATCACAATGTCTGATTACGTATTCTTATGTAGTGTATACTTTCTAGAGAATGTTTGAGATAATTTTTATCTAGAAATATGTGATCCACAATGACTGAATATGTTGGCAATCTTGACCCTAATTTTAAAAGCTTACCTTTAGAGTGGGTTTGTATGGCAAGTATTTGTCATGCAAAACCGTATCCGGTTGCAGTGTTTCAAATTATTAAAAAAAATATTTTCAAATCTGTTGCTAACAGACTCAGTCTTTCAGACTCACTTCGTACAAAAATAAAGAAAACTCGTTCGAAAAGCAGGCATTGCAGTGAAATATTGTAATATGTCAGATTTTACTGATGTATCGAGAAAAACGGTTTTTAGGTGCATAATTTTGCTAAAGTTTCACAAATATGTTCCCTTATCATCACTAAAGAGTTAGAAATAGAAGAAACTATACTCGAAGTTATAAGTAGCAGCAAGAATATAATAAATGACATTTTTAAAGTGGTTACGTTTTATAATTTTGTTAATATACTTCCAATCTGCCGCACCAATTAAAGAGAAGCAATCAGTTGAGTACCGTTTGCGACAAGATGTTATTGTTTTAGGATATGACATCAAATTGTTTCTGAAAAAGGATATTTTTAAAACCAATGTATTCACTGGGAACGTGAAAATTAATTTCACAATGGTGCGCCCAACTAAGGAACTTAAATTACATGCAAATGGGATTGACTTCACCAATGTTTTAATTAAATTTTCTGAGCGTCAAGAAATTCTAAATAAACATTTTAAAAGTGATCCTGTGACAGATATTCTTACAATTAAAACAAAGGATTATTTTTCAAGTGGATCCACCTATACACTTGAAATGAAATATAAAGGAAAACTAAGAACCGATGAACTTCAAGGCTTTTACAAAAGCTCATATACGACACCTAATGGTACTCAAGTTTTCTTAGCTACGACTCAGTTCGAACCAATTTCAGCTCGTAAAGCGTTTCCTTGCCTCGATGAGCCAAACTATAAAGCTGTTTTTAAAATCGAAATTAGACATCCAAGTCGATATACAGCTGTTGCAAACACAGCTGGTACTCCCAAACTTGATGAACAGTAAGTAAGGCATTACCGTGTTATAAAATCAAATTCTATAAAATTTTACAGAGACAATTCTTATACAATTACGACTTTTGAGCGAACTCCTAAAATGCCCACCTATTTGGTAGCTTTTGTTGTCTCTGATTTCACTTGTGATGAAGAAGCTATTGATGAAGTAACTAAACATTTTGTATGTTCAAGAAACGAGACTGCACCAATTCGAGAAATTGCAGCCAAAACGGGACCAAAATTAATAAAAGTTATGGAAGAATGGACTGGAATTAAATATAGTGAGTTGGGAATTACGAAAATGCATCATTTTGCTATTCCTGACTTCCAATATAGCGCCATGGAAAATTGGGGACTGATTACATATAAGTAGGTACTAATTTTTTTAAGACCATATAATTACCAAATTTGGATTTGCAGAGAAACAGGATTGTTGTGGGACAAAAATGAGTCTTCTAACTATTATTTACAAAAACTCAAAACAGTCATTGCCCATGAAATAGCCCATATGTGGTTTGGAAATTTAGTTACGATGTATTGGTGGTCAGACACTTTCCTAAATGAGGCTTTTGCAAGATACTTTCAATATCATGGAACGGCAAAAGTACGTATAATAAAACAAATTTTAGATAAAGAAAAAATGTTATTTAGTCTTTTACGCTTAAATAAATAAACAATTTGAGAGAAAAGGACCAAATAACATTTTCCCCTTATCTAAATATCGATCTCTCACAAAAATAAATCAATCAAAAAAAACAATTTTTGTCTCAAATTTTGATAAAATTGTAGATTGTGCCTGACTGGGAGCTTGACAAGCAATTTGTAGTAGAGTGTCTCCATGACGTTTTAGCTAGAGACTCGTCAGCAACATCTCAAGCTCTTTCTTGCCCGGTCTCTTCACCGGCAGAAATTAATACTCGGTTTGGTGCAATTTCGTACAACAAAGGTACCACCAACTGTTATGCTGGAGAGCGGGATCGGGAGCGAGCACCATGCAATCAACTTAAGAGTCAGCTTAAGACTAAGTTTATTATATACAAATATCTACAATA